GCTGGCCTATCAGAGTAGAGACTGAGCGTGGTTTAGACTTACTCAGCCTATTGTTGGCGCACAGGCTGGTCCCAGCCCCTTGGCGCTTCACTGTTGCCAGGCATTAGTTGTTATCTCCACAACTTGTCTCGAGTCAGCAACCTCAGACATCTTTGTAGCAGAACACATGTCCTTGAGCAGTTTAACAAAGAGGCAGTGTGTGTGTATGTGAGACACAAGTCTTATCTCACCCTACCCCCTAACAGTTCCCCACATTAATCACAGCTTGTTATATTAAACAATCTATATCAGTACAGTACAAACCTATTATGTTTAATCATTAATGTATTCTTTCTAAGCTAGGCATCACATCTAGTTATAAGAAAATATATCTCCACAGTACATTCTCCTGGGAATAGTCCTATTCCTGTAAAAACATCAGCAAACTCCTCCATGACATTCTCAATCTCTATTGGTGCTGTCACTGATAAAACTAGCTTGATAAGGTCCATGTCTAAACATGCTTTAAGACCTAGCACTGCAGGTGCTCGAGTGTCAACAACATAAAAGTCCAACATCATGTCCCTTTCCTTGTATTTGCATTTGAAAGTGCATGTGCCTTTTACTGGGAGCTGTTCACCACCATAACCAGTCAGTCTGCCTTTAGCTGGGCAATTCCCCTGTTCGCCATGCACTTTGTATCCACATGTTTTGGGGCGTTTGGAGTCCTGTGTCGCTCTGTTTTGGAGTTCTGTCTGTCTCCGTTCTGAAACATGCTCTCTGGGCACCGGAGGTGTGCTTTGATGTCTGCCTGACTGCGTGCACTGCTTGTTCACGTGATGCGCTCGTGCTGCCGCCTGAAATGGTTTTCATCTGAACCTGTGCTAGCTCGTGAGATCTGGCTATGTCGATAGCTCTGTCCAGCGTTAGCTCAGATCCAACATTAAAAAGTTTCTCTCTCACTCGCTGTGAGTGTATTCCAAATACATTACGGTCCCTGACCATCTCATCCTTGTTTGCATAATCACAGTCTTTCACAAGCAGACGCAGCTCAGTGACAAACTGTTCAAACGATTCGACATGGAATTTGTACCTAGCGAAAATTGTATTGGTCTTTGGCACAACATATGCTTCAAAACGATCGTAGTATGTTTTCAGTACCTTTTGATTCAGCCTCGGTAAGTGTCCATGTGTTGTAAATGTCTCTCCCTTTTTCACCGATCCAGAGGAGCAGGTAGCTGCACTTTTCCTCTTCTCCTCTTTCTTTCAGAGGACCCGTGAATATTAGCTCCACATGCTGTTTGAACTTACGCCATGCATCGGGTAGATTTGTAGACCCTCCAACAACAGCAAAATCCATATTTTAGTTATTTTACTCTGACACCATGTCTTGTTTTGTATGCTTTGTACAAAATAATAAAATGCATGGATAAATGTATGGAAATTCATAATGTACAGTGGGGAAAAAAAGTATTTAGTCAGCCACCAATTGTGCAAGTTCTCCCACTTAAAAAGATGAGAGAGGCCTGTAATTTTCATCATAGGTACACGTCAACTATGACAGACAAAATGAGAAAAAAAAATCCAGAAAATCACATTGTAGGACTTGTGAAGACTTACAGAAAACGTTTGACCTGTGTCATTGCCAACAAAGGGTATATAACAAAGTATCGAGAAACTTTTGTTATTGACCAAATACTTATTTTCCACCGTAATTTGCAAATAAATTCATTAAAAATCCTACAATGTGATTTTCTGGATTTTTTTCCTCAATTTGTCTGTCATAGTTGACGTGTACCTATGATGAAAATTACAGGCCTCTCTCATCTTTTTAAGTGGGAGAACTTGCACAATTGGTGGCTGACTAAATACTTTCCCCCCCCCCACTGTAGCTTACCCAGTCTGCTGCTCTATCCATTGGTGAAGTAATTTAATGTGGAGCTAAATGTAAAAAAAATAAAAAGATTTCTGAGGTTAAAAAGGAACAGAAAGGAACGATATAAACCATTACTTTTTTTGGTTTCAAACCGGTTAAGAACTTTAATTTTGATGGTCGGAACAGTGGAATGAAAAAAAGAATGGTTCTGTTCAGAACGAAACAATTGGAAAATAATTTTGGTGATGCAGTCTTTACTAAGTCAAGTTAGGATGTGTCAGTTATCCCGTGAGGGTTTTTGTCCCGAACCCATTAAGGTGTTTTAGGTGCCAAGCTTATGGTCATTTTGCAGCAATGTGTAGTAGGGAGATTCGTAGCACTGACGTCTGTAGCCATGAAGTGCTTTGAAAGGCTGGTCATGACTCATATCAACACCATTATCCCAGAAACCTTAGACCCACTCCAATTTGCATACCGCCCCAACAGATCCACAGATGATGCAATCTCTATTGCACTCCACACTGCCCTTTCCCACCTGGACAAGAGGAACACCTACGTGAGAATGCTATTCATTGACTACAGCTCAGCATTCAACACCATAGTGCCCTCAAAGCTCATCACTAAGCTAAGGATCCTGGGACTAAACACCTCCCTCTGCAACTGGATCCTGGACTTCCTGACGGGCCGCCCCCAGGTGGTAAGGGTAGGTAACAACACATCTGCCACACTGATCCTCAACACGGGGGCCCCTCAGGGGTGCGTGCTCAGTCCCCTCCTGTACTCCCTGTTCACCCATGACTGCATGGCCAGGCACGACTCCAACACCATCATTAAATTTGCCGACGACACAACAGTGGTAGGCCTGATCACCGACAACGATGAGACAGCCTATAGGGAGGAGGTCAGAGACCTGGCCGTGTGGTGCCAGGATAACAACCTCTCCCTCAACGTGACCAAGACAAAGGAGATGATTGTGGACTACAGGAAAAAAAAAGAGGACTGAGCACGCCCCCATTCTCATCGACGGGGCTGTAGTGGAACAGGTTGAGAGCTTCAAGTTCCTTGGTGTCCACATCACCATCGAACTATCATGGTCCAAACACACCAAGACAGTCGTGAAGAGGGCACGACAAAGCCTATTCCCCCTCAGGAGACTGAAAAGATTCGGCATGGGTCCTCAGATCCTCAAAAAATTCTACAGCTGCACCATCGAGAGCATCCTGACTGGTTGCATCACCGCCTGGTATGGCAACTGCTTGGCCTCCGACCGCAAGGCACTACAGAGGGTAGTGCGTACGGCCCAGTACATCACTGGGGCTAAGCTTCCTGCCATCCAGGACCTCTATACCAGGTGGTGTCAGAGGAAGGCCCTCAAAATTGTCAAAGACTCCAGCCACCCTAGTCATAGACTGTTCTCTCTGCTACCGCACGGCAAGCGGTACCGGAGTGCCAAGTCTAGGTCCAAAAGACTTCTCAACAGCTTCTACCCCCAAGCCATAAGACTCCTGAACAGCTAATCATGGCTACCCGGACTATTTGCACTGCCCACCCACCCCATATTTTTACGCTGCTGCTACTCTGTTACATATTTATGCATAGTCACTTTAACTCTACCCACATGTACATATTACTTCAACTACCTCAACTAGCCGGTGCCCCCGTACATTGACCCCCCTGTATATATAGCCTCCCTACTGTTATTTTATTTTACTTCTGCTCTTTTTTTCTCAACACTTTTTTTGTTGTTGTTTTATTTTACTTTTTTATAAAAAATAAATGCACTGTTGGTTAAGGGCTGTAAGTAAGCATTTCACTGTAATGTCTGCACCTGTTGTATTCGGCGCATGTGGCCAATAAAATTTGATTTGATTTGATTCTTAGATGTGAGAAGTGTGCAGGAGGGCATGAGACAAAGGAATGTGTAGTATGGGTTGGGAAAAAAGTTGTGTGTTAACTGTAGGGGTACACATGGTGCTGGAGATCAGAAGTGTCCAGTTTTTAAAAAGGCAGGTTGAGGTTGCCAGGATCAGAGTAGTACAGAAGGTGTCGTATGCTGAGGCAGTGAAGAGAGTAGTAGAGGAAGATGGGTCCAGGGCGAGGGATCCTAAGAGGCTCCTTGTGAATAAGCCAAGGCCAATAGAGTTAGCGTTCATAGCCATGATTATCAACTGTACCGCGAAATGGATCGTATATCACAGAAAATAGATGTTGTGGTGGCAGCTGCAGAAAAGTACTTGGGTGTATGAGATTTTACTGCAGAAGAGTTGGCCTGGTGTAGGATCAGATAGGGCGGAATAGTGGTGAGGTTTTAATGGTTAGTAGGGCAATTATTCTTCCCTTTTCCCAGTCCTTTTTCCTTTCCCTTTTTGTGTCACAAAGTGTAATGAATTCACACTGCAGAACAGTAGGCAGAAACACAGGGCTAGATAAGAGAACTACAGTAGATGATTAGGAAGGCTGTGACCGGCCTCACATCCAGTACCGTAGGTGGCGGTGTATGCATCTTTCAGTTGGTTGCGATCCGCCAATACAAATGGAAAGAAGAAGAGCAATCACTTCCCATACTAAATTGCGTCAATAATTTCATAATGTACCAAAATGGTGAGGAGTTTCTATGTTTGCATCCATTTGTTCTATTTTGTACGGTGTACATATGATAAATGTTGTGTTGCAGTGGCTTTTATTAGTATGCAGTGTTGCTTTTCTTTAGGTAGGTAGAGCTAAAAACACAGTCAGGAAACTGTATTGGGCTCAAGGCCTTTGCGGGTTAGCTCTGACTAGCTCGCTAGCTAGCATTATTTTCAGCTAACTTTATACATATTAAAATGTTGTAGTTGATATTAGTAGTTAGGTAAAGGTCTATACATATCCCCCAAAAATGCATCTCAATAGCCCATGTAACAACACTATGCAACAGTAACCTGTTGAAGTTAGCATACAAACAACTAGCAAACTAGACAGACAGGAGGGGCATGTTTTATGACCACTGACACTGACCCAAGCAGAGACCATAGAGGATAATAATCTATGATCCAAGCATTAGTTGTAACAGTTACAGCCAACAAGTTGAAAAAGATAAATGTGCACATTGAACTAGATATGGCAATTAGCTATTGACATTGTGACATGATTATTATTTTTAGACACTGATCTACAAGGCACTGACGGTTCAGGCATTCTTGGGGGCCCTGATGTACGCAGACGGATCCCCATTAAGCTGATATCCAAGCTGCCGGTCAGGAGCAAGGCTGTTACCCGCTCACAGAGACCCTCAAGCAGGCTGCCCTCTAAAACCCAGCCTAATGATGAAGGTAAGCATAATGGTGGCTAGAAGAACAATATGCAAAATGGTTTGAAGGAGAGAGTGGCACATCCACAATTGCCATTCATGCCAGTTGTATTCCTTAATGTTCTAGAGGGCTTTGGGTTTAAGCAGGAAGATAGATTTGAGCGCAAGTCTGGAGATGCGTTAGGCAACCAGAGGAGGTTCCCTCAGCCCATGTTCTGGGACTACAAAGTAAGTGTCCATTCTTAATTTTTCTTCTAAATCATGGTTACTCCTCTAATTTGATGCAACACAAAATAAAACTATCATGATGTTGCAGGCTGCATATCGTGTGTATTCTTTCACATACAGCTAAATGTGAAAATATTACTTTTGTCTCTTCAGCTGAATTTGGTTGGCGAGAAGGACGACACGCCAGTTCATTTCTGTGACATGTGTGGCCTTCCTATAAAGATTTATGGACGCATGGTAAGTTTATGCCTCCTTCCCTTAATAGGAATTTTTCTGCAAGTAACTATAATCCACACTCTTTATTCATTCATTTTTATGCCTTGACACCACAGGAGGTTGGTGGCACCCTAATTGGGGAGGACGGGCTCGTTGTAATGACTGGAGTGGAATGGTATCAAATACATCAAACACATGCTGTCCATGTGTCTGATGCCATTCCATTTAGTCTGTTCCAGCCATTAATATGAGCCGTCCTCCCCTCCGCAACCTCCTGTGCTTGAGACTTGGCACTCATGTGCACTAACAGTGTTCCTCTTCCACAGATTCCCTGCAAGCATGTATTTTGCTATGACTGTGCCCTGCTTCATGAGAAGAAGATGGAAAAGATGTGTCCAGGGTAAATTGCCTCTCAAACCTTTGCCTTCGATTATACTGTACAAGTTAAATTAGTCATGAACTGTTGTGAGCCATCTCCCTCACATTGTGAGCGCACAGTCTAGTTTGTCTGCTAGGTCTCAAAGCATGTGTTGACGTAATGCGTGTGTTGTTGCTGGCTCCACTTCCCTTACTAAACCCCTGAGATTAGTCTCACCCTATACAGCTGCACAGATCCGGTCCAGCGGATCGAGCAGTGCCTGCGGGGCCTCCTCTACATGTGCAGCATCGTTCCGGGCTGCAAGCGCACCTACTTGTCCCAGCGCGACCTGCAGGCCCATGTCAACCACCGACACATGAGGGCAGCCAAGGCTGCAAGAGGGGGCATTCTACCACGCCTAGAGCCCTTGCATCCACAACCGGCCTCAGAGCCACCTGACCACTTCCATCTGCTACCACTGCCCCACTTGGCCAAAGGACACCCCCTCATACCCCCACAGCTGCAGGGACACGACCCCTATGGCCAGCCCCCTCCCGCCTCTCCGTCAACCCCCTCTTCTGAACTGGGCCCCTCTGGCCTCCATCGTCCCCCACTGGGTCAGGAGACGTTCCGCATTGCCACTGTTACTACTCGCAAGCACAGCAACCTCATCACTGTGCCCATTCAGGATGACTCTGGGGGCTCGCCCCTTCTCCAGCCTGCCCAGGGCATGCCCCCTCCCCACCACCATCAGGGGGACTACCCTGGCCAGCCCAACCACCTGATGGCCCCCCCACCCCAGCAGCAGCACTACGGCCCACCCCCTCCTCCACCACCCCCCCTCAGCCACCCCATGCAGCACCCGCCTCAGGGCTCCGGGACACCTCATCTGGTCTACAACCAGGTCCCTCCCATGTCCTCAGGCCTGCCTCCTATCACCCCACCACCCGGACACATCATGGGCCAGATGCCTCCCTACATGAACCACCCACCTCCCCCAGGCCCCCTGCCCCAACACAGTGGTCCTCCTGTTAATGCGCCTCCTCCCCACCACTACAATCCCAGCTCCATGCAGCAGGACCAGGGCACCCTCAGCCCGCCTTTTAACCAGCCCGGGGGACTGAGCCCAGGGATGTGGCCAGCCCCCAGGGGCTCTCACCCGCCCCGCATGCAGAGGCCCCCACCACAGGGCCAGATGCCTGGTCCTCCCCACCACCCAGACCAGTCCCGCTACCGCCCTTACTATCAGTAACCTCACCCACAAAACCTAGTTTAGAGTTCAGACATTGCATTGTGATGATTAGTTTAAATATGGAGACTGTCTGAGTGAGTGGAACTAATGATAACCTGTAGACTCACTTCTCTTAGGGTAATTAAGGGCGGCAGGTAGCTTAGTGGGTAAGAGCGTTGTGCCAGTAACTGAAAGGTCGCTGGTTCTACCCCCGAGCCAACTAGGTGAAAAATCTGTCGATGTGCCCTTAAGCAAGGCACTTAACCCTAATTGCTCCTGTAAGTCGCTCTGGATAAGAGCGTCTGCTAAATGACTAAAATGTAAACATGTAATTCATAGTTTAAAACTTTGAACAACATCAGGTTTTCTGAACATCTCAATAGATTTTAGAAATAATTTCTATGTTTTTGAATCCTCATCAAATTAATTGTGAAAGAATGAACTTATTCAGGCACATGGAAATGTTATTTTGTAATTTTCCAAAGATGTCGTAATGCCTGGTGAATTTTTCAATGGGATAGAATTTGATTAAATGTATGGTTACAAAGGTGTTACAATAATGATTTCATGTGTTTGGTCAATTTTGTGGAGGCATTGGCCATTCATATTTTGGGTGAGACAAACAAAATTACCTCATGTACTGATGCTATGAAAAAAAATACCTGCCATTTCTGAAATGTATGCAACTGAGTTTTTACTTTATTGTAATAAAATTAAGGTTGCATACCCCAATTTGATTATGTTCTTGTGGAGGACCTTGTAGGCGTATATTTTACACTGTCGGAACTTTCTGGATTGGGCTTTTCAAGACGCGAATGACTGCCAATGTTTGTTGGTACAGGTCCGGAACTGAAGTTATAAAACACGTTTCCTCCCGGCCTAACTATTGGAAGGACACATTTATTGAGCTATGATTGGCCAGAAAGAGGCATACTAGAAGGGCGCAGGATAATTTCGATATTTGCTCAGCTATGCAGCTTGATTGTTTATTGAGCTACAGCTACAGAAAATGACCACTTTAGTTCTTGATAACGGAGCTTACTCGGCCAAAATTGGATACAGCCACGAAAAAGTCAGGTAACAACGTAGCTACCTAGCTAACAAATATAACTGGCTAAACATACCATTGTGCTTTTTATTGTTGGATGTTTTATAGAAGGAAAAAAATGCATCTATTATTGTGACCAATTTCAAAGGAAGAATGAGATCGAATGGTTAAGCTCCAATCTGGGATTCGTTTTTCAGCAAAACGGCAGCCACACCACTTGTTTTGGTATAACGTTAGACGGGTTGGTTGTTCAGCAACAAAACCGACGCGTGCGCAACTATGGGGCAAAACAGACATTGACTTAGATTGTTGACAATGTGTAAACTATTTTTCGTCTGCAATGTTTATAGAAAGCATATACATTTCCACAATGAGCACTTGTTGTCTCTCAAATGCATCGTTAGTTCTTAACTAGCTAGCGAATCCATATTAGTGTTGACATGAAATCAGTAAAAACACCTCAAAACAAGACTGGATGGTATTACATTTACATTTGAGTCATTTAGCAGACGCTCTTATCCAGAGCGACTTAGTTAGTGAGTGCATACATTTTTCATACTGGTATCAAGAACAATATTAAACTAGCTGCAGCGAGTCTTACGATTCCCCACATGGCAGTTTCTTGTCATTGTTGTTAGCTATCTGGCCATCCAGAATCAACAACTCATGGATTTCTGCCCCATTGATGCGTGCACATCGTTTTCGTGAAGTTGTCAGCTAACCCATCTATACAGATGGGGCTAGGGAAATGAGCTCCCTCTCAAATTCTCTAGCTAGATGCAAGGACTGACACTCCATGGCATGAACATTATATTTTGAAGCTATACGTTCTTGTTGTTAGTAAACAATGGAGTAATAAAACCTTTCATTTGGGTAATAGAGTAAAACAGTTGTACTAGCTCATGGGGCATTTATAACTTATAATATTCTTCAATAATCAATGGGAAATATCAATAATAGAAATTGTACCTTTTTAAAGGAGTTGTTCAGGATTTTACAACATGATTTTAGATGGTTCCTCACCCTGAAAGTTGTTTATGTGCCAGGAGAAATTGTAATAAATGGTTCGGTTTAATGTAAACAGCCACTGCAACCTCCAATTAACTTTAGCCACCGCAAGTTAACGATCAATGGAAGTGATAGGGGCACGTGAGCATGTAAAAAAAGATCAAATCTAAAGTTAAAATAAAAAAAGAACAAATCTAAAGTTAGCTAAGTTTGTAGTGGCTGTGTAAAGAAAACCGAACTATGGATTACAGTTTCTCCTGGCCCGTAGACTACTTTCAGGATGGGGAACCATCTAACATCAAGTTGTAAAATCCTAAACTACCTCTAACCGGCAGACCTCTTCCATTTCAAGCAGAGTGCTCTTGTTTCTCTTTTCCCATAGCGTTATCCCAAATTGTCAGTTTCGCTCCAAGACGTCAAGGTTGAAGACTTTTACCGCCAACCAACTGGATGAGATCAAGGATCCCTCAGGACTTTTCTACATTCTCCCTTTCCAAAAGGTGCGCACGTGATCTGGCTATGTCATCCAGGGGGTTCCACTGCATCTTGCCAGTAAATTATTCCTAGGCTTGGAGGACAAAAGGGGCACTGCATCCAAAATACTAAAATGCTTTTTATTGTCTGTTCTGTTGCAGGGTTACCTTGTTAACTGGGATGTCCAAAGAAAAGTGTGGGATCACCTCTTTGGAAAGGAAATGTTTAAGGTGCTGTTGATCCAATGTTTTATGATTAATGATTTTCCACAATTAGCTGAATCACAAATGTTGTGTAAGTAACGGGGAAGAAGTTGCAATGTGTATGTTATGGTTGCAGGTGGACTTTGCAGACACCAGTGTAGTGATCACAGAGCCCTACTTCAACTTCACCTCCATTCAGGAGTCCATGAATGAGATCCTGTTTGAGGAATACCAGTTCCAAGCAGCTCTCAGAATTAATGGTGAGTTCAATGTACTCAGTATAGGACTTCCCCAGTGGCCGAAGGCTTGTGTGTTTTCAATTAGTATCTATACTAGATCTAAGATATATATTTTGATCTTACACTATGACTGAATGATCAATTCAACCACATGCAAGTTAAATTATGATGATGATACAGACCTGGGTCAGTGATAATGGTAGAAAGTCATCCTACCTGGGTGTGTAATGCGGATGTCCTCTCTGTTTCAGCTGGATCCCTGAGCGCCCACCGCTACTTCCAGGTGAACAACCAGGAGCTGTGCTGCATCGTGGTGGACAGTGGCTTCTCCTTCACCCACATAGTCCCCTACTGCAGGGGGAAGAAAATGAAGGATGGGATATGCAGGTTAACACTACTGCTATTAAACATTAACAGTGCAGAAATGTTACCAAAAATTACTATAATTTTCAAACACTTGCTACGACATGATTCAAAATGACTTTGGAATATTGCAAATCACAATTGTATTGTATACACCTTTTACCAAACCTGTAACCTCCACATGGATGTCTTAAAAATACATATTTTATTAAATACGGTAGCCTTTGGTATTATTTATTTGTGCTGTGCCCTAAAGCTAATGCCACATGGTTTTGGGACATAGCTATTAGCATGTAGCACTATTTTGAGTTGACCATGGTTTCATTTGGTTTCCCTTGGTAGGATCAACGTAGGAGGCAAGCTACTGACCAATCATTTGAAGGAGATTATTTCATATAGGTAAGATTGTCATGTCAAACTGACATTGATTATTGTGTTTATAGTTTTGTACAACTTCTCCAATGTCACATGTTTGTGCAGAATTGTAATTTATATAATTTTATTGCGCTAAATGTCATTCCTCAACAGGCAGTTGCATGTCATGGACGAGACCCATGTAATCAATCAGGTGAAAGAGGATGTGTGCTATGTATCCCAGGATTTCTACAAGGACATGGATATAGCACAGTAAGGACATTTTTCATTTTTACTAGAGCATCGTCTCACCTGCTAAACTAGACACAAGTCTGTATGAGCATTTCTAAGGACAAACTTGTAGGCTAGTATTTAATTGAAGCAGTTATGTCAGTAGACGAGTGAGACAAGACAATTGCGTGAGAGTTGATTGAAAGGTGGTGATCCTCTCTGTTTGCAGGTTAAAAGGAGAGGACAACACAGTGATGAGAGATTATGTGCTACCAGATTTCAGCTCCATCAAGAAGGGCTTTTGCAAGGTATGGATTCTTCACACACATTTATATGAACCCATTTTCCGTTCTATACATTGTTACACCTAAATTACCATTTAAGGAGGTTGTGGAAGTAGTGGATGGAGTAGTCCCCTGTTCTGACTATCCTCTGTGTCTCCCCCAGCCAAGAGAGGAGATGAACTTCACAGGGAAATACAAGACCGGAGAGCAGATCCTGCGCTTGGCCAACGAGAGGTTCGCCGTCCCAGAGATGCTCTTTCACCCCTCAGACATCGGCATCCATGAGATGGGCATTCCTGAAGCACTAGTCAACTCCATCAACAACATGCCAGAGGGTAGGAGAGAGAACAATAATCACACTTTCACTCACAGTCATACGAGAGATTGAACAGGTGAAGAGGTGTCAATTAAATACAATGTCATTTTCTCCTGTTTCCTTGTATAGAGATGCAGCCCCACTTCTACAAGAACATTGTCCTCACTGGGGGTAACGCATTGTTCCCAGGGTTCAGAGATCGGGTGTACAAAGAGGTCCGCTCCCTCACCCCCACCGACTTCCAGGTTTCTGTGTTGCAGCCACCCAAGTGAGTGCACAAGCAGGGTCTTCAGCTCCCACATCATTTTGCTTCGTCACCATATTAAGTGAAAATAAACCCATGTTACATTAGGGAGTTATGCTCTATTTAGAAGAGTGAAGAAACAACAAACACTAGACATTGCAACTACTTTTTATGGCTTAACATTTTTATTTAGGCAGTAAAATCTTATCACAGACTTTAAATGAACGCGTTACCTTTCTCTCTCCGTAGTCCAATCTCCTACCCATGGGAAGGAGGCAAGCTCCTGGCAGGAAACCCAGACTTTGATGAGATGGTGGTCACTCGCGAGGACTATGAGGAGAATGGACATTTCATTTGTGAAGAAAAGTTTGATATCTAAAGGACTTTAGTTGTAATAATTTGTCTCACTAAGGTCATTGGGCAGAGGATGGCTGAAGCAACTACAGCAGATCCAACTCTTGCATTTTTTTTTAAAACTGAAAATGTCATTGGAATTCAAATTTCTAGTACCATTATTGGGATGCAATCTTTTCATTCTTACACGTCTTTGGCTATCATTATAAATGTGTAAACATTGAATCGTAGGTAGTGTCCCTCAAAGGAGTGTAGAAACCCCTCCAGAGGATCATCACAACGTACCAATTCATATTTACCACTGGATTTGCTGGCAAACCATAAAACCAAATTCTAACTCAAGACTCCACTGGACAATACAGTAACAAACCACCCGTAAAGCCCCTCACTCAACAGTAAATTGCTGCAGTGAGTTTATTTGCTAAATAAACATATTCCTCAAGAGTCCATTAGATGTTGATCATTATTTTTCCCCTACTTACAGATTCAACTTTACTATCAACTTTTGTAGAATCAACTACTGTCTAGGGAGAGGGATCATGGATCCATCTGTGTCATAGAATAACAGACATTTCTTTCTATGAGAATGATGGTTCTATAAAACTTTCTCTGCAGGAAAGGCTTGTTCTGTTACATCTGGCACCTGACTAAAGTGGCTGTTATTTAGTGAGGATCATTATGAGATATGCTTATGACAAGATGCATTACAACCACATCTTAATGCATTGTACCTGTAGGTGTAACAGGATAAATAACCATGGCAAGAATAGGTGAGAAATCCCAATTGAGATCAGGCACTGGTGTCTTTACATTTTAGTCATTTAGCAGACGCTCTTATCCAGAGCGACTTACAGTTAGTGCATACATTTTTATTTTTTATACTGGAATCGAACCCACAACCCTGGCGTTGCAAATGCCATGCTCTACCAACTGAGCTACATCCCTGCCGGCCATTCCCTCCCCTACCCTGGGCCAATTGTGCGCCACCCCATGGGTCTCCCGGTCGCGGCCGGCTACAACAGAGCCTGGATTCAAACCAGGATCTCTAGTGGCACAGCAAGCACTGCGATGCAGTGCCTTAGACCACTGCGCCACTCGGGAGGTGATTAGTCATGTGATGTCTACTGTTGTTTAACAACAATAGACCTTGTGGGTAAGAGCGTCTGCTAAATTACTAAAATGTAAATGTAAAGATGGCAAACAATTACTTACAGTTGAAGTCGGAAGTTTACATACACTTAGGTTGGAGTCATTAAAACTATAGTTTTGGCAAGTCGGTTAGAACATCTACTTTGTGCATGACACAAGTAATTTTTCCAACAACTGTTTACAGACAGATTATTTCACTTATAATTCACTGTATCACAATTCCAGTGGGTCAGAAGTTTACATACACTAAGTTGACTGTGCCTTTAAACAGCTTGGAAAATTCCAGAAAATGATGTCATGGCTTTAGAAGCTTCTGATAGGCTAATTGACATCATTTGAGTCAATTGGAGGTGTACCTGTGGATGTATTACAAGGCCTACCTTCAAACTCAGTGCCTCTTTGCATGACATCATGGGAAAATCAAAAGAAATCAGCCAAGACTGCAGAATAAAAATTGTAGACCTCCACAAGTCTGGTTCATCCTTGGGAGCAATTACCAAACGCCTGAAGGTACCACGTTCATCTGTACAAACAATAGTATGCAAGTATAAACACCATGGGACCACGCAGCCGCCATACTGCTCAGGAAGGAGACGCGTTCTGTCTCCTAGAGATGAACGTACTTTGGTGCGAAAAGTGCAAATCAATCCCAGAACAACAGCAAAGGACCTTGTGAAGATGCTGGAGGAAACGGGTACAAAAGTATCTATATCCACAGTACAACAAGTCCTATATTGACATAACCTGAAAGGCTACTCAGCAAGGAAGAAGCCACTGCTCCAAAACTGCCATAAAAAAGCCAGACTACGGTTTGCAACTGCACATGGGGACAAAGATCGTACTTTTTGGAGAAATGTCCTCTGGTCTGATGAAACAAAAATATAACTGTTTGGCCATAATGACCATCGTTATGTTTGGAGGAAAAAGGGGGATGCTTGCAAGCCGAAGAACACCATCCCAGCCGTGAAGCACGGGGGTGACAGCATCATGCTATGGGGGTGCTTTGCTGCAGGAGGGACTGGTGCACTTCACAAAATAGATGGCATCATGAGGAAGGAAAATTATGTGGATATATTGAAGAAACATCTCAAGACAGTCAGGAAGTTAAAGCTTGGTCGCAAATGGGTCTTCCAAATGGACAATGACCCCAAGCATACTTCCAAAGTTGTGGCAAAATGGCTTAAGGACAACAAAGTCAAGGTATTGGAGTGGCCATCACAAAGCCCTGACCTCAATCCTATAGAAAATGTGTGGGCAGAACTGAAAAAGCATGTGCAAGCAAGGAGGCCTACAAACTTGACTCAGTTACACCAGCTCTGTCAGGAAGAATGGGCCAAAATCCACCCAACTTATTGTGGGAAGCTTGTGGAAGACTACCTGATACGTTTGACCCAAGTTAAACAATTTAAAGGCAATGCTACCAAATACTAATTGAGTGTATGTAAACGTCTGACCCACTGGGAATGTGATGAAAGAAATAAAAGCTGAAATAAATCATTCTCTCTACTATTATTCTGACATTTCACATTCTTAAAATAAAGTGGTGATCCTAACTGACCTAAGACAGGGGATTTTTACTAGGATTAAATGTCAGGAATTGTGAAAAAAATAGTTTAAATGTATTTGGCTAAGGTGTATGTAAACTTCCGTCTTCAACTGTATTTGAGGAAAGCTAAGAAACAACTGGCTGCGTTACCTGTGCATAGAAGGCACTGACATACAGTGCCTTCGGAAAGTATTCAGACCCCTTGACTTTTTCCACATTTTGTTACATTACAGCCTTATTCTAAAATTGATTAAATAAATAAAAACACAATATCCCATAATGACAAAGAGAAAACAGGTTTTTAGAAAATTTTGCACATTTATGAAAAAAACAAAAAACAAACCTTATTTACAGAAGTATTCACACCCTTTGCTATGAGATTCGAAATTGAGCTCAGGTGCATCCTGTTTCCTTTGATCATCCTTGAGATGTTTCTACAACTTGATTGGAGTCCACCCCTTTGGTCAATTCAATTGATTGGATATGATTTGGAAAGGCACACACCTGTCTATATAAGGTCCCACAGTTGACAGTGCATGTCAGAGCAAAAACCAAGCCATGAGGTTGAAGGAATTGTCCGGAGAGCTCCGAGACAGGATTGTGTCGAGACACAGATCTGGGGAAGGGTACCAAACAATTTCTGCAGCATTGTAGGTCCCCAAGAACACAGTGGCCTCCATCATTCTTAAATGGAAGAAGTTTGGCCAAGCACTACCAGAAGTCAAGATTGTGCTTCTTGGCAGCAGAATCTCTGGCAAGAGTTCCTCTAGAAATACCATCCTGGGTATAAAGAAGTTTGAAATGGAGGCAAAAGCAGTCAGTTGCACAAAGCAACAGGACTTGATCAACAGGCTGGAGTAGTGTTCCAACAGTGACCACTCCAAAATGGGTTAAAGAAGAGATTCAACATAGCATTTGTCTGTGCTGTCCAGCGCCATATGTGTTCCTCCTGGCAATCCCAATCGATGAGCCATTCAGAGAAGCTGATAAGAGAGCAGTAGAGGAATACATGGGGCTTTTCAGTGAGATGGTTTGGAGACATGCCATCATCCTGTTCATCCATGGTGATAGCCTACAATAAATAACCATTGAGCAGCAGATTCAAAAGGGATGGGGAAGCCCTCCAGTGACTTGTTGCAAAATGTGAAAACAAATATTGTGTTCTTAGCAATATGCTCAAAGCTGAAAACACTCAAGTTGTAAAACTTCTGGAGAAGATAAAGGAGATGATGGAAAGAAACATGTCATTAATAGCCACATTTATCTAAATGGTTAGTGTCAATAAATAACCATATTGCAACATGTTCATTGTCAATTAACTTGTCTCAACAGCAGCAAGTGTTTCAAAAAAAATTTCTGTTTTGTGCCTACTTACCCAACCCTAAACTGAGTCATATGGCTTCCAGCACTTAATCTCTTGGGATCTGAGCGCAGGACGGTACTGCTGGGAAAGACTAAAGCTTTGAAGAACGTAGCAGGAAACATCATCCTGGCCAGAGAGGCGTTTGGAGCTACTGGAGGACGAACTGCACATTGTGAGAAGAAGTTGGGTGAGGTGGCAGGTCGCAGCTAACTAGTCGACACACCAGGCTGGAGGAACAGATCAATCCAATAAACCCCAAACTTGGATAAGTGGGAAATAGTGCATAGTGTGTCAATGTGTTCTCCAGGGCCCCAAGCTTTTCATTTGGTCATTCCACTTAATGACTCATTTTTAGAAACAACGGAGAGCAGTAGTGGAACACATGGAACTACTCGGTGAAAACATTTGGAGACACACGTTAGTGCTGTTCACTACAGAGAACCCACTAGAGGACATAAAGCAGTGGGCATTAAGCATGGAAAGAGAAGGGAAGGCTCTCAAGTCACTCTTGAAACAGTGTGAGCAAAGGCATCGTGCTGAACTTTAAGAAATGGAATGATCTCCCTCAGATCACAGAGCTTCTGAGGAAGGTGGAGAGGATGGTGATAGGAAACAGTATTACAGTATGAGCCAAGACAGCAGGTTTTACAAGACCTTGAAGAGAGCAGCGATTGACAGAGGGAAACGGAGGATGTTGAAAGTGCAAGAGCAACGAAATATGATCAAAGAAAATGGTAAGAACATTGCAGTCGACCCACATGACTACTGTGGTCTTTGACCCCTTTCCTCTATTAGCTTAATTTACCTTTCTGACAGAGGAATCACACTTTAATAATTCAACCATTTGTAGAGTTTATTTCCAAAACGCTATATCCACCAATTTTTCGCATTTGTGGTTTTTCATCAGAAATGATTACTGTTCTCAGATTTGTAATTTTATAGATTTTATATGTGTACGAAAATCAATTTCTTTACAAAATGCTATATATCCATTGTTCAGCTGGAATGGAATGTTTGTATCCTGTATATTTGACTGGCACAGTGGTCTAAGGCATTGTATCTCAGTGCTTGAGGCGTCACTACAGACCCCCTGGTTCGATTCCAGGCTGTATCACAACCGGCCGTGATTGGGAGTCCCATAGGACGGTGCACGATTGGCCCAGCGTCGTCCCGGGTTTGGCTGGTTTAGGCCGTCATTGTAAATAAGAATTTGTTCTTAACTGACTTGCCTAGTTAAATAAAGGTAAAATTAAAAATATATATGTGGTTGTCTCACCTAGCTATCTTAAGATGAATGCACTTACTGTAAGTCACGCTGGATAAGAGCATATGTTAAATGTAAATGTTTTACATACAGATCTCATTTTACTGTATTGAATTATATATATATATATATATATATATATATACAGTGGGGGAAAAAAGTATTTAGTCAGCCACCAATTGTGCAAGTTCTCCCACTTAAAAAGATGAGAGAGGCCTGTAATTTTCATCATAGGTACACGTCAACTATGACAGACAAAATGAGAAAAAAAAATCCAGAAGATCACATTGTAGGATTTTTAATGAATTGATTTGCAAATTATGGTGGAAAATAAGTATTTGGTCACCTACAAACAAGCAAGATTTCTGGCTCTCACAGACCTGTAACTTTTTCTTTAAGATGCTCCTCTGTCCTCCACTCGTTACCTGTATTAATGGCACCTGTTTGAACTTGTTATCAGTATAAAAGACACCTGTCCACAACCTCAAACAGTCACACTCCAAACTCCACTATGGCCAAGACCAAAGAGCTGTTAAAGGACACCAGAAACAAAATTGTAGACCTGCACCAGGCTGGGAAGACAGAATCTGCAATAGGTAAGCAGCTTGGTTTGAAGAAATCAACTGTGGGAGCAAATATTAGGAAATGGAAGACATACAAGACCACTGATAATCTCCCTCGATCTGGGGCTCCACGCAAAATCTCACCCCGTGGGGTCAAAATGATCACAAGAACGGTGAGCAAAAATCCCAGAACCACACGGGGGGACCTAGTGAATGACCTGCAGAGAGTTGGGACCAAAGTAAAAAAGCCTACCATCAGTAACACACTACGCCGCCAGGGACTCAAATCCTGCAATGCAAGACGTGTCCCCCTGCTTAATGCAGTACATGTCCAGGCCCGTCTGAAGTTTGCTAGAGTACATCCAGAAGAGGATTGGGAGAATGTCATATGGTCAGATGAAACCAAAATATAACTTTTTGGTAAAAACTCAACTCGTCGTGTTTGGAGGACATAGAATGCTGAGTTGCATCCAAAGAACACCATACCTACTGTGAAGCATGGGGGTGGAAACATCATGCTTTGGGGCTGTTTTTCTGCAAAGGGACCAGGGCGACTGATCCGTGTAAAGGAAAGAATGAATGGGGCCATGTATCGTGAGATTTTGAGTGAAAACCTCCTTCCATCAGCAAGGGCATTGAAGATGAAACGTGGCTGGGTCTTTCAGCATGACAATGATCCCAAACACACCGCCCGGGCAACGAAGGAGTGGCTTCGTAAGAAGCATTTCAAGGTCCTGGAGTGGCCTAGCCAGTCTCCAGATCTCAACCCCATAGAAAATCTTTGGAGGGAGTTGAAAGTCCGTGTTGCCCAGCGACAGCCCCAAAACATCACTGCTCTAGAGGAGATCTGCATGGAGGAATGGGCCAAAATACCAGCAACAGTGTGTGAAAACCTTGTGAAGACTTACAGAAAACGTTTGACCTGTGTCATTGCCAACAAAGGGTATATAACAAAGTATTGAGAAACTTTTGTTATTGTCCAAATACTTATTTTCCACCATAATATGCAAATAAATTCATTAAAAATCCTACAATGTGATTTTCTGGATTTTTTTTCCTGATTTTGTCTGTCATATTTGACGTGTACCTATGATGAAAATTACAGGCCTCTCTCATCTTTTTAAGTGGGAGAACTTGCACAATTGGTGGCTGACTAAATACTTTTTTTCCCCACTGTATACAGCTGTGGAAAAAATTAAGAGACCACTGCAAATTTTTCTTAAATCAGCATCTCTACATGTATGACAGCCATTCCATTCCAGTGTCTGTTGAATTCCAACACAGGCACACCTCATTCTACTGAATTAGGTACTGATTAGGTGATCACCTGAACCAAATCTTATTTAACGAGGAAAAGTATAAAAACCACTGCTGTGGTCATCACTATCCTCTTGCAATAGGACCAGCTGGATGGCAAAAACAGTGCTAATAGTACCTCAAAAGTAATAATAATCAAAAAATAACTATTGATCATGCCAAAAGAGTTGAAAAGGAAAGTTTTGAGTGAGGAAAAGAAGGGTTCAATTCTGGCTTTACTGGCAGAGGGATACAGTGAGCGTCAGGTTGCTTCTATCCTTACAATTTCGAAGACGGCGGTTCATAAGAACTAGGTCAAGCAGCAGACATTGGAGACAACAAAGCTACAGACCGGCAGAGGGTGAAAACGACTCTACTGACAGGGATGACCATTCGAATGTCACTCAACAACCGTAGGGTGACATCAAGTGACCTAAAAAAAGAATGGCAAATGGCAGCTGGGGTGAAGTGCACGGCGAGGACTGTTCGAAACAGGCTCCTAGGGGCAGGGCTGAAGTCGTGCAAAGCTAGAAAAAAGCCCTTCATCAATGAGAAGCAAAGAAGAGCCAGGCTGAGGTTTGCGAAAGACCATAAGGATTGGACCGTAGAGGACTGGAGTAAGGTCATCTTCTCTGATGAGTCCAATTTTCAGCTTTGCCCAACACCTGGTCGTCTAATGGTTAGACGGAGACCTGGAGAGGCCTACAAGCCACAGTGTCTCGCACCCACTGTGAAATTTGGTGGAGGATCGGTGATGATCTGGGGGTGCTTCAGCAAGGCTGGAATCGGACAGATTTGTCTTTGTGAAGGACGCATGAATCAAGCCATGTACAAGGTTGTCCTGGAAGGAAACTTGCTTCCTTTTGCTCTGACATTGTTCCCCAACTCTGAGGATTCATTTTTCTAGCAGGACAATGCGCCATGCCACATAGCCAGGACAATCAAGGTGTGGATGGAGGACCACCAGATCAAGACCCTGTCATGGCCGGCCCAATCTCCAGACCTGAACCCCATTGAAAACTTCTGGAATGTGATCAAGGGGAAGATGGATGGTCACAAGCCATCAAACAAAGCTGAGCTGCTTGAATTTTTGCACCAGGAGTGGCATAAAGTCACCCAACATCAATTTGAAAGACTGGTGGAGAGCATGCCAAGATGCATGAAAGCTGTGATTGAAATATCAGGGTTATTCCACCAAATATTGATTTCTGAACTCTTCCTAAGTTAAAACATTACTATTGTGTTGTTTAAAAATGAACATGAACTTATTTTCTTTGCATTATTCGAGGTCTGACAACACTGCATCTTTTTTGTTATTTTGACCAGTTGTCATTTTCTGCAAATAAATGCTCTAAATGACAATATTTTGGGGGGGAATTTGGGAGAAATGTTGTCAGTAGTTTATAGAATAAAACAAAAATGTTATTTTTACCCAAACACATACCTATAAATAGTAAAACCAGAGAAACTGATACATTTGCAGTGGTCTTTTTTCCGCAGCTGTATATGTGTATATATATGTGTCACAAATATATAATTTGCACATTTGTTAAAAAAAAATGTAGTTATTTATTACATTTGACTGTGTAAAACCTAGAAGTACTACTTATTTATCTGAGAGTGAGGTGGATATATAGCAGTTTGCAATAAACATTATTATTTGTCTCTCTGAAATGAAACCAAGTGATACATTTTAAACAAATACACGTCTGTCATTGAACAGCCCCTTGCCATAATTAGATAGTGAAAAAAACACATGCATCTCTGTCATAATTTCTTTAATCGTCAGATGTGGTTTCAACAGGCTTCCCGTTGCGACGACCACGAAGATCCATCTGCTAGCCCCGGCCCGCTAGCACACGCAATCAACAGCCATGCCTCCTGCTCGCCTGTGCCGTAGCAGCCACCGAACTGCTCCCGGACTCACCTATTGCTGTTCACTGGACCTTATGATCACTCAGCTACACAGCTGATGCCTGCTGGACTGTTCCTTTATACGGTACCCCATCCTGTTTATCTGTTTAGCCTCAGCCCAAACTTTTGTCGCCATTACCAGCTGTTGTCTTAGCTCTTTCGAATAACACCTGTGATTGCTTTATGCCTCTCTCCCATGTCAATATGCCTTGCCTATTGCTGTTTCGGTTAGTTCTTATTGTATTATTTCAATGTAGAGGCCCCAGTCCCGCTCAACCTGCCTCAGATAGCTCCTTTGTCACACCCCCTATACATGCAGAGACTGGCTCAATCGGTGCCTCCAGTGATGCTATCTCTTTCATCGTTACCCAACGCTTAGGTTTACCTCCACTTTACTCATATCCTTCCATATCCTTGTCTGTACATAATGCCCTGAATCTATTCTACAACGCCCGGAAATCTGCCCCTTTTATTCTCTGTACCCAACGCACTAGAAGACCAGTTCTTAAAGCCTTTAGCCATATACTTATTCTATTCCTCCTCTGTTCCTCTGGTGATGTAGAGGTTAACCCAGGCCCTGTAGCCCCCAGTATCACTCCTGCTCCCCAGGCGCTATCATTTGTTGACTTCTGTAACCGTTAAAGCCTTGGTTCTTGCATGTTAACATCAGAAGCCTCCTCCCTACGTTTGAGTTATTCACTGCGTTAGCACACTCCGCCAACCCTGATGTTCTAGCAGTGT